TTTTTCCCGGATTTTTTTTGGTTTTTCCCCCCAAACCCCCCCCCCCATGATTTAATTCCCCTCCCTTTAGTCAAAAAAAAAAAAAAAAAAAACAGAATCTTATTGATTGTTGCTGTTTGCGTCTAACCAGAATTCTCATTCTTATTCGCTGATGTTGTGTGTGTGTGTGTATAGAATTTGGACCTAGAGTCTGTCTGTTTGTTTGTTTGGTTGGTTTGTTCGATTTTTTTTTCTCTTTTTTCTCTTCCTTGCTTTCTCTCTCTATTCCTCTCACTATATGCGTGTTTTGGTGTCTTTTACCATCACCATTATTATCATCATCATCATCGACATCGACATCATTATCAAACATCAACATTTTCATCATCATCATCATCAAAAAGATTCATCCTTTTGAGGAATTTTTTCCTTTTTCTTCTTGCTCACCAATCATATATCCGGTATGTTTTCCTTTTCTTCTTCTGAATAAAATGATGATTTGAGTTTCAATCATTCACCGAAAATCTAATCTAAATGAATGAATTTTCCAATGAACAATTTCCATCATCAAATTTTCAAATATGATTTTTTTCTTGTTTTATCGCAAAATAATTTAATTTTCAATGGTTGGTTGGTTGGCTATATTTGATTCTGTTTTTCAGTGTGTGTATGTGACTTATTTTGAGTTTCGATGAATCCAAAACAGACAAAAAATCAATAAATTCAATTAATCGATTACCGATCATCATCATCATCATATCGATAATAACGATGACTTAATTATCAATCTACGGTGTTGGTGTGTGTGTGTTGTGTGTTAGTTCGAGCACAAAAAAAAACAAACATTCGATCGAACGTTTCGTCATCAACATCTTTGCCAAGAAAAAGAGAAAATTTTTGTTTTCTGATTTGCATCACCTGAATCGAAAAAAATTCATTTGCAAATTCAGGTAAATCTATGCGTAGGTTTATTTTTCATTTTTTTCATTCTATTCAAATACTCAAAAGGTAAGAATAATAATTTTTTTTTTCATAAAGAATATTCTGGTGCTAGTTCGGCATCCGAATATATAAATATCATAATAATTTTCCCACCACCATTATCATCATCATCATCGTCATCTTTATCATTGACCTCGTTTGAATTTTCGGTTTTTTTCACTTAAATCTACGAAATCATTGATGGTGATGATCGTGGTCGAGGTTAATAATGACGTATGAACTATGATCATCATCGTCATTCGGAATTCATTCATTTGACAATGACACTTATAGTGAAAACTAAAACGCCCACGTAAACATGAACAGCAAAAAAAACATTCGATTTTTAGTTTTTTAGAAATTCAACAACAACAACAAAATAGGGATGTTTTTCAGAAATTTTGGAAATTTTCCGGAAATGTTTTTCATGTTGTCATTGCCAATTTGAAAATTCTTTTCCCCCTCTTTGCTGAATGATATCAAATTCTGTTCAAACAAAAAACAAAGAGAAAATCCTTTCAAAAACAAATGTTTTTTGTGTTTTGTTTATCCCATCGATTTGAATCGATTTCTTTGGTTTTTGTTTTGCAAACGATCAATCAATCAATCAATCGATTGAGTAATTGGAAAACAAACAAACCAAAATAGATCGAATTGTATTTTGTAAAAAAAAAAAATAAAATAAATATCTAAACACAAAAATCTGATAGATTCGATCATCATCATTGAATTTCCATATGGATTTCAAATCAAAAAAACAAATCGGGGAAAACCTCTGTTTAAAAAAAATTGATAAAATTCACATTTTTGTTACAAGTTTTTTTTCTACAAAAAAAAAATATCATTTATTTTTATCTTTCCTGAATATTTATTTTTGGTATTCATTCATATTTCATATTCATAATATTATTTTTTTTTTTCGGTTGCCTTAATTGAATAGAATATTTGTGGTAAAATGATGATGCTAACCGAAAACAGTAACAACAAAAAAAAAACAACAAGGAGAATGTTACTATCTTTAGGATCATCATCATCATCATCATTGGTTTTGAGCATTCTCCATACATAAAACATTCATTTTAGTGAATCATCATTATCATTGGATTATTGAATTTTCGGAAATTCTTTCCATTCATTGTCTGTTTCCCAAGAAAATTTATCAAATTTTTTTATTTGATTTGACTTTATCGATTGATCGATTGATTAGGAAATTGTTTAATTATCTCTTATTTATCCCCATTGAATGAATGAATGATAAGAAAAAAAATCAATAAATTTTGATGAAAAAACGAATTCCTCCTCTTTAGAGAATATCCGATCAAGTTTTTGGCCTGTTGTTGTTGCAGGAAAATTAATTACAATCTTTTTTTTCTATTCATTAAACATTATTTGAATTTATCGGATGTTCAAAAAGAATATCTTCTTTTGCTGTTTGAAGCTTTTTTTGTTGACAAATGGAATCCATGATTCGATCAATAGAATAGAACTATCGATCCAAAATGATTTCAAGATAAAATATAGTAATGCCGAAAAAAAAGAAGAAGAGTGCAAGCACAAATGATCAAATTGACAATGATAAAGTAGTGAAAATGATGATTATGATGACATTGAAATTTTTCTTTAAAAGTTTTTTTTCTCCTTTCAAAAAAAATGAATTTCCTAACTTTTTTTTCTGTTTTTTTTTCTTCGCAGAATTTTTTTCAACAATAATGTTGTTGGAAATGGAATTTGTGTTTGATCAATGAAGAAGAAGAAGAAGAAAAAGACAGAATGGATCGATATTAATTTGAATGGGAAAATTTTTACCCACACAAAAAAAAAGAAGAAATTTTTCTACCCAAAATTTAAAATTTTTCATATTTCAATTGATGCTCAAAAATGATTTCTTCATAATTCTTCCCCTACATCACATCTACAACAACAACAATTCTCTGGGACATTTGATTGATTGATTCAATCAATCACAAGGTGGACATATCGTTTGTTAAATAATTAAACAAAACAAAAAAAAACAGAGAGAAAAAAAAATTTATCATCATCATCATCTACATCTATCTATGTGTCTTATCTTTGATTTTTTTTGTCGCCCTGTATTTTGGGTTGTCTTTTTTTGTTTTGTTTTTTGGTTGTGAATATTCTCCTTTCATTCAATTCTCAATAATTCATTCAGAATTCTAATTTGAACTGCAGAAATGTAAAACAACAAAATTCTACAGCCATCTTTGTGTGTGTGTTCTTCCTTTTTTTTTCGTTGAAAAAAACTATTCAAACAAAACACCAACAAAAATTGAAATAAAATGTTACTACTTGCCTATTCTGAATATGATTTATATCGTGATGGCCAAATACCTGGCCGTGTTGGTCCATTACCAACATATTCACCGGATGAAGCAGCTTGTTTAAAAGATCGTAAATGGTGGGCATTTTTATTGTCCAGTATATTTACATTTTTAGCCGGTATATTTATTGTTTTGATATATCGATTTTTTGAATTCATATTTTCTGGTGTAATATTTGGTTCAACATCATCATTACAACAACAACCGGGAGGACAAGGTCCCGGTAATAAACAACAACAACAACAAGGTCAACATAAAGATCATCATCAATTAGATCAACAACAACATCAACAACAATCATCATCATCATTGGTTGAATTAAAAGATCTCAAATCACATAGTCTTACCGATTCACAGCCATTAATACAACAAGAATTAGGATGGATGACCGAAGCAAAAGATTGGGCAGGTGAATTAATATCCGGACAATCAACAACTGGACGTATATTAGTTGTATTAGTATTTTTATTATCCATTGCATCATTAGTTATTTATTTTTTGGATGCATCCAAGTAAGTGAATGAAAAATACATTTGTTTTTCTCCTTTCTTTCTTAATTTTCCTCAACCCATCCATTTTGAATGATAATTTTCTTTGAAAAAAATGAGCTAATATAAATAATTTCCATGTAGTTTGAATCTGGAAAAAAAACAAAATCAAACTAATAAATATTTTCTATACTTTTTTCTTCTTCTTCTTTTTTCCCCATTCATTCCACACCGAATTCACTTTGAATATTCTCCCATTTTTCAAATAAACATTATCATTATCATTGTGACCATTGTCATAAATAATTTATTTATAACATTCCACCTACTGAACCATTTATTATCATCCATATCCTGAATGAAAAACTTTCTTTGCTTATTAATTCTTAATTTGATTATAACAGTACTGGTCCACCTGGTGCTGGGTATGGCTTATTATTATCATTTTATTTATTTATTTATTCCATCCCCCATCCATTATGTTTTGTTTGTTATTGTTTTACTAATAATGTCAGATATATATTGTTTTCATCATCTTTTTCTTCTTTTTTTTCATTTTTATTTGTTTTTCGTTTTTGTCTCCTCCTTATATGTGTGTTTTTTCTCCCTCCTTCTATCTTTTTATGTTGTTGTTGTCTGCACACACACACCCCCATCAATAATATTTTTGCCACTCCTCTCCCCCTATCAAAAAAAATACACAAACAAAAAACAGTGATAGTGTTGAAAAATGTCAAAAATGGAATGAAAATCCAACACAACAAGTTGATCTAGCATTAAACATCTTTTTTATGGTCTATTTTTTTATACGAGTAAGTTTTTTGTTTGTTTGTTTTGGTTATTTGAAAGATTTTTTCAAAAATTTTTTTTTCAAAAAAACACATAGTTTATAGCTGCTTCCGATAAACTTTGGTTCATGTTAGAGCTTTATTCATTTGTCGATTATTTTACTATTCCACCATCATTTGTATCGATTTATGTTGATCGTACATGGATCGGTTTAAGATTTTTACGTGCATTACGTTTAATGTCATTTCCAGATATTTTACAATATTTAAATGTTTTGAAAACATCATCATCAATACGTTTAGCACAATTAGTATCGATTGTTGTATCGGTTTGGTTAACTGCTGCTGGTCTTATACATTTGGTTTGTTATTTTTTTTTCATCCAAATCAAAATGAATTGCTTTTTTCTCAATGTATTTTTTTTTTCTTTTCTTTTTAAAAAAATTTTTAGCTTGAAAATTCTGGTGATCCATTAAATTTTGATAATGGCCATTTTATTTCCTATTGGGAATGTGTATATTTTCTTATTGTTACCATGTCGACTGTAAGTATTCTGTTGTTTGGTCTGGTTCGTTCTTCTGATGATTCTCTCTTCAAGGTCGGATATGGTGATATTCATTGTACAACAACTTTAGGTCGTACATTTATTGTTCTATTTATTTTGGTCGGTTTGGTAAGTTTATTGATGATTTGGTTTTTTGATTATTAGTTATTGATTGAATTGAATTGACTGAATCAAATAGGCCGTATTTGCATCATTGGTACCCGAAATAACCGAACTAGTTGGCCATCCATCTAAATATGCCGGAAATTATCAGAAAAATCCCGCCAAAAAGTAAGATTTTTTTGTTTGAAATTTTGTTTGATCAAATTTTTTTCCAAAAAAAAGGCATATCGTTGTTTGTGGTCATATCACATATGAAAGTGTTAGCCATTTTTTAAAAGATTTTCTACATGAAGATCGTGAAGATGTTGATGTTGAAGTTGTTTTTTTACATCGTAAACCACCTGATCTTGAATTGGAAGGTTTAATTAAAAGACATTTTACAACGGTTGCATTTTTTCAAGGTTCAGTTATGAATCCAATCGATCTGAATCGTGTTAAAGTACATGAAGCTGATGCATGTTTAGTATTATCAAATAAATATTGTCAAGATCCGGATGCAGAAGATGCAGCAAATATTATGCGTGTTATTTCCATTAAAAATTATAGTGATGATATTCGTGTCATTATCCAACTGATGCAATATCATAATAAAGCCTATCTATTGAACATACCATCATGGAATTGGAAACGTGGTGATGATGTTATTTGTGTTAGCGAATTAAAATTAGGTTTTATTGCTCAATCTTGTTTGGCACCTGGCTTCAGTACAATGATGGCCAATCTATTTGCTATGCGTTCATTCAAAACGGTTAGTTTTTTTGTTAAAGTTTTGAAAAACTTAATCCTTTTTTTCGATTGAACATAGTCACCGGATACACCACAATGGCAAAATGATTATCTTTGTGGTACCGGTATGGAAATGTATACGGAAAATTTGAGCACAGCATTTGTTGGAATGATATTTGCTCAAGCAACTGAACTTTGTTTTGTTAAATTAAAATTATTATTATTAGCCATTGAAGTCAATAATGATGATGGCCAAACACAGATTGTGATTAATCCAAAAGGTACTATTCGTATACAACAAAATACGCAAGGATTTTTTATTGCACAAAGTGCCGATGAAGTTAAACGGTAATTTTCATTTTCATTTAGTAAAATTTTTCTTTAAAAATTCTCTTTTAAAATTAATTATTAATTACCAAACCACTTATAGAGCACTTTGGTTTTGTAAAAATTGTCATGATGATGTTAAAGATGAAAAACTGATACGAAAATGTAAATGTAAAAATTGTAAGTAGTTTTTTTTTCGTTTGTTGTATAATAAAGGATAAATCAATTATAAATAAATTCATTCATCATATAATATCATTATCATCAGATTGAAAATAAGATTGTACAGTTTAAATTCATTTACATTCAAGTTCAGCAAAAAAAACTGATCCGAAATTCAATCCTTTTCTTTCCAAAAGTTTATTTTGCATCGTGCGTTTTTCTTTGAAAGAAAACTTTTTTCTTTTTTCTTTTTTTTGTTTGTGCTTACAATCTATATTTTTTCCCTAAAGAAATCTAAATTTGTCATTCTTCTTTTTTTTCCTTCTCCTCCTTAAATTCTATCCACAACGTTTGCTTTCCATCCAATTTCTTTCTTTCTTTTTTTTCATTGGAAGACAAAAAAAAATTCCCGAAACTTTTCCTAATCTCAAATGTTTTCCAGCAGAAAAAAAACCTTTTGTAAATAAGAATCCTTAGTAGTTGGAATTCAATGTTATTTTTTTCGTTTCGTTTTCAGCCGAAAAAAAAACTACTTATTTTCATCTGATTTATTCAATGTTGTTTTTCTCGTTTGTTTGGTTCCCAAACCTAATAATGTGATCATTTTTTTCTTTTCTTTTTTTCTGGAAAAAAATCTCTCTTTGTTAATCCATGGCTTCCGTTATTCTACTGCTGATGCTGTTAATAAATGTCGCTTTTTGAAAAATTCTAACCAAATTCATTCATTCATCATAATAATATTTTTGTGCTTTGCTTTTTCCCGTTGTTGTTGTTGTGTGTCCTTTAAAAATCCGGAATTTTTTTCTCTATTTGTGTGTGTCTCTGTCTGAATCATGAATCACAAATGATAATAAACAGTGGGCGCAATATTCAAAAAAGGTGTTCGTGTTGTACAAGCTGTCAATAGTAATGTTATGAATCGACATTCATCAAATTTTACAACAAAATTATTGGATACAACCACTACTGATTATCGTTCGTATTTTTCTTCTTCTTCTTCGATATTTATGTTTTTTCTTTCCCCAATATTTGTGTTTTCGCTTTGTTCTTTTTTTTTATTTGGTTTTTTCTCTTTTTGATTTTTGGTTTTAAAACAATTTTTTCCATCCCAAATGATTTATATATGGTGTGTCTGTGTGTGTTTTGGGTGCGCAATATTTTCCAAATTTTTCAAATATCGTTGACAGAATAAACCAGATGAAATCAGATAATCAGATTTAAGTCAAGTCAAAAGATTTATAGCTATAATTTATTTAGTCTATGAACATGGAAAATATTTCATTTTTTTCTAATTTTCTTTGTTGTTTTCATCACATAATTCAAAAAAAAAGATTTATCCTTGAATGAATCATTTGGAATAGATCCAGGCCATCATATCGATAGTATCGATGATGGTCATTTATTACAATCGATTAATACTAGTGCCGGTCATCACCATTCACTTCCAAAACAATCAAAACGACGACAACCACAACAAATTCAACAATTAGAATGTACAAATTTAATGGCCACAACTAGTTTTTCATCATCATCACATAATAATATTTCAGATCTATTATCATCATCATCAACAACATCGACAACAAAAATGGCATCAACATCTTCATCGTTTAATATGTAAATGAAAATAAATTCCAAAAAACCAGAAAAGAAAAGAAATTTTTTTTCAAAAAATTTTTTTAAATTATTTTTAATTTTGATATTTTACAAATAGTAATCAATCACAACAACAACAACAACAACAATCGACAAAACTTTTACCAAAATTATCAAGAAAATTTCGAGGTAAATTCTCTATGTTTGTGTTGTTTGTTGGTCTTGTTGTGTGTGTGTTTGTTTTTCTCGTTTATAGATGTTTGTTTGTGGTCGGGTATATTCGAACCAAGCACACACACACACTTTAGTTGAAAAAGTAAAGTTTTTTTTCACAGAATTTTCAAAATCGATTCATTCAAAATTAGAGAGAAAAAAAACATTCACAAATTCGCAATTCGATGCACCATTTTAATGGGGGTAAATCTTTTTTGGCACCATGCACACACACACACCTCTCTGGATTTTCTTTTCTTTTCTTCTTTAATTTTTTGCAAAATTTGACTTTTTATTTTTCATTATTTTTCATTTGATCAATTTTAATTTTGCATCTTTTTTTTCAATTTTTTAAAATTTTGAAAAAAAACTCATTTTTCAAACTAACTTATTTTTCTCTCTCTCTCTGCGTCTATGTCTCTCTGTGTTTACATCACCGCCATCATCTTCATCATGTCCGCTTTGAAACAAAAATTTTTGCTAAAATAATAATTCTATATGTGTCTTTTCTATGTGTGCATCCTTCCTCTATCGCTCTTTTTTAAATGTATGCAGATGGTTTTGGTGAACCAAGTGAAAGCAGTAAGTAATTTTTTTTCCAGTCTCTATATTCCAAGCACGCCTGAATTTATGTATTGTGTTTTTCGTTATTTTTTTGGAAAAATTTCTTTTTTTTGTTTTAAAAAATATCTCATCGTTTTTTTTAACCCTTTTACTTTCACAGTGCATCTAATACCACCTTCATCTGGATCGAGTAGTCGTCGTCAAACAACAGCAGCCACTGGTCGTAATGGTAAACATCATCAACTTGGTAATATTGCTGGTCAATTAACCGCTGCTATTGATACAGCTAAACAACAAACAAATACACGATGTACAAATAGTCCGACAATAAAACAACCTCCAGGTATACCAACATCAACAACACAATCAGCTGGATCATCATATGGACCACAAATGCATCTTGCATATGAAGTGAAAAAGTTGATGCAAGTTTTTTTCTGATTTTAAAATTTTAAAATTTTTTATCAAATTTTACAACTTTTTTTGAAATTTTTTAGGCCAGCTGCAGCACGTCTGACCGATAGTGCCAGTGGATCAGTACCGGTTGCACCATCAGCCGGTTTTATTGATTCAAAAGATTTTGATTTTGAAAAAACTGAAATGAAATATGATTCAACCGGTATGTTTCATTGGTGTCCAGCTCGACCAATCGAAGATTGTATACTGGATCGTAATCAAGCTGCAATGACAGTATTAAATGGACATGTTGTTGTTTGTTTGTTCGCCGATCCAGATTCACCATTAATTGGTTTACGTAATCTGGTTATGCCTTTAAGGTTTGTTTTTTGTTTTTTGCTTTTTGCTTTGTTTTTGAATTGAATCTAATTAATTATGACCATTATAGAGCTTCGAATTTTCATTATCATGAATTAAAACATGTTGTTATTGTTGGTAATGTTGATTATTTACGACGTGAATGGAAAATGTTACAAAATCTGCCGAAAATTAGTGTATTAAATGGTTCACCATTATCACGTGCAGATTTACGTGCTGTCAATATAAATCTATGCGATATGTGTGTAATATTATCGGCAAAAATACCATCATCCGATGATCCAACATTAGCCGATAAAGAAGCAATATTGGCCAGTTTGAATATCAAAGCAATGACATTTGATGATACTATTGGTGTTATAACAAATAATGCTGCATGTCCAGATCCTGGTTCAAGAATACCGGGTAGTTCACCACCACCATTAGTTGTTCAAAGACGTGGTTCAGTTTATGGTTCAAATGTTCCATTAATAACCGAATTAGTGAATGATACTAATGTACAATTTTTAGATCAAGATGATGATGATGATCCAGATACCGAGCTATATCTAACACAACCATTTGCATGTGGTACAGCATTTGCTGTATCGGTATTAGATTCATTAATGTCTACAACATATTTTAATGCAAATGCATTAACATTAATACGTTCTTTGATAACTGGTGGTGCAACACCTGAATTGGAATTAATTCTAGCTGAAGGTGCTGGTCTTCGTGGCGGTTATTCAACGCTGGAAACATTAAAAAATCGTGATCGTTGTCGTGTTGGACAAATATCATTATATGATGGACCATTAGCAAAATATGCTGAAAGTGGAAAATATGGTGATCTATTCGTATCAGCATTAAGACAATATGGCATGTTATGCATTGGTGTTTATAGGTTTCGTGATACATCCGGTGCGGCTGAAGCATCAACAAAACGTTATGTAATAACAAATCCACCAGCTGATCTTATTCTTATACCAAGTGATATGGTAAGTATTTGAAAAAATGTCACTTTTTTTCATAAATTATGAAAATGTTCATATTTTCTTCTTTTTTCCCTTCACGATAGATATTTGTCTTATTACAATTTGATCCAGGTCTTGAATATCATAAAGGTAATCGTAGTGCAACATCCAGACAATTATCATCAACAAGCGCCGTATCTGGTTGTGCTATGATTGGTATGGATCCAAATCAATTACAATCAGGTGGTGGATCAAATACAAATATTGTACAAACATCATCACAATCACAACAACAACAACCATCATCACAATCATCAATTACACAACAAACATCACAATTATCATCGGGTATTAATCAATCAATGATATCCAATGTCAATCCAATGTCAACTGGACAAACAACCGGACAACCACCAAGTTGACAAATTCTCTGTAGTGCTCTGACTGACGGGCCGTATTCATTTATTTAAATAAAAAAAACTTCATAATGTGTGTGATCCATATTTGTTGTTATCATTTCACCAAAAACATCGCTATATTGTCACTTTTTTGATCAATCATCAAATCATCATGAATCATCACGCCCGGCAGGATAATCTAATTGATAATAACATCAATATCAATTCAGACAAAAATTGAACCAAATTCAATTTTCATTTCAGAGCACTACAGGGAAACTTTTAAATAATTTTTTTTTGTAAATAATTTTTCTTTTTATTTTCTTCACTAAAAAACATAATCCATTTTTACAATCAATTTTACCATCCAAAAAACTGTTATTTAGTCACTAGTTTGTAAATGTTTTTTTCCTCAACAACAACTCAGAAAAATTCAATTCAATTCGTTTTTTTCCCGGTGTGATTATAATCTGTTTAGATAATAGTTTTCAGTTTACCTGTGTTATTTAAAAAATAATAATAATCATTATCATTGTTTTTTTTTTGTTTTTGTTTTGTTCAAAGTGTTCAATTAAAATAATTTATCGCAATAAATCGATTTCGATTTGTAATTTCTGTTGATCATCATCATTCGCCAATCAATATCCAACTCATTTTGTTTAAATTAAAGCTGCTCACAGAGTACGGTAAATAATCAGCTGTTGATGATTATGGGTGATGGATAATCATCGATCGATGGATGTAATTGCCCTTTTAAAAGATTACCAAATATAGACTGTGATTGATAAACCTATTAAATATGGAGAAACTTGATCCCTCTGGTAAGTATCATGATGTCTTCACATGATACGGTCAGGGTTGTGAATGCTGTTGATAAAATCAATGATGATTAGAATCAGGTTCAATCAGCAAAATGTAATGTAAAAGCCAAATGACTATAATAGTCCGTAATTGAAGTCATTTCAATCAAAAACAACGACATGGCAAAAACTAAATTAAACGCACGGACCCGAGTCAAATCATTACAATCGTCAGTGATTGTTTTTCTTTTCCTTTTAGAACGGACCTTATCACATCGAATGAGTAAATTATTCGAAATTCTAAAAGGTTAGTCGAAAACTATGCGATTAAAATTTTCTAATCATAATCAACAGGTCATAGGCGAACATTGATGACCAGAAAACAACAATCCGCACAATCATTGCTCAAACGATTACGTTGGTTTCACCTCCCTCTTTCATTCGCTGTCACTTTGTTATTGTTGGGCCAGGTGCGCAAATTTCGTAGAAAAAATGGCGATGATAATGCATACAAACCATTACCGTTCGAAGTATCCATGTATCGAATGCTTCCATTACGGACATTATCTCGAATGTGGGGATGGATCAATTCACTTGAACTGCCACAACCGGTAAGAATACCGATTCTTAAATCATATGCAGCTGCATTTGGCTGTGATATAAACGAAGCGTTTATCGAAGATCTCGCCCAATATAAAAATCTCAACGAATTTTTTCGACGAGAATTGAAACCCGGATTACGACCGATTGCAGGCAGCGAACATGACGTCGTTTCACCTTGCGATGGAAAAGTACTTCATATGGGTCAAGTCCAGAATGGCCTTTTGGAACAGGTAAAAGGTATCACCTATACGATTGAATCATTTCTCGGTCCTATCACATGGAAATCATGTAATAATTATGATCAATATGAACAATGTCTGTTGCAACACAATGACACCGATCTATATCATTGTGTTATATATTTGGCTCCTGGCGATTATCATCGATTTCATTCACCAGTCAACTGGACAGTCAAATATCGACGTCATTTTCCGGGCAAACTGTACTCAGTACGTCCAACATTTGCTTCATGGTTTCCGAATCTATTTTCAGTCAATGAACGAGTAGCATATGTGGGCGAATGGCAATATGGCTTCTTTGCCATGGTGCCAGTAGGTGCAACTAACGTAGGCTCTATGCGAATCTATTTCGATCCAGATCTTAGAACAAATCGTACACAAATGTCACTTTTATCTGGCCGATATGAAGACAAACAAATGAATGATAAACAAATTCACCTGCGCAAAGGAGATCCATTCGGTGAATTCAATCTCGGTTCGACTATTGTGTTGATATTCGAAGCACCGAAAGCGATGCGATTCCAAATCCATCAAGAAATGAAAATTAAATACGGTCAATTGATTGGTGTTACCAAAAAATAGCCGTTTTAAGTTGAAAAAAACGGATAGATAAATGATTCAATAAAACAAATACTACTATAATTTACAAATTACACAGTGCTTAATCAATGAATCAATTGATGAAAGTATGGTATTTAAAATTTTTCAACAAACTGCAATAGTGATGGATACTGCTTGACCATTTTACGTAACGGTTCATATGTTTTATCATATGAATTGATCGCTTTGATATGGCCATAGATTAGACACAACAATTCTCGCGAAGCGGCTTTATCATCATCCATCGGAATCGATGTAATGCGACTTATTTCTCGTAAAAATTCTTCCAATGAATTTTGTCGATTTGTATCGTCTTGTATTCGCTAAACCAGTGAAAAAAACATGATTAATCCATATAAGATTCAGTGGCGAATAGAGAAAACATACCCAGGCAATGTCACGTCGTTTAAGCCAACAGAGAATGTTATTCAATGGCCATGGCTTACCGTATGCATAACTAAATTTGGTATACTTTTCAAATGTATCCTTGTCTAACCAGGTGTAATAGAGTTCAGCATCGATAATCACTTTGTTGAATAAATCTAAAATAGCTTGTCGTTCAGTGCTAATATCATTCACTTTGATTTCAAACTGTTTGTTAATGAATTCGATAATCGGCAAGAAACCAGAAACTAATTGACGACCATATTTGATCAACGGTAATTGTCCATCTGGTGACATCCATTCGGCATTCGAACGTTCATCAATCTGATAGTCAATTTTGTTGAATTCAAGATAGGCACGTAATGCATTGACATAACCAAGTTCGGGCAACATGATTTGCAAATTATTCAACGATTGTATAATAACCACCTTGTTTTGGCCTTGTTTAGCATTTTGGGCATTTTTCATTTGTTCAATAACCATTTCGGTAAGATATACCATTCAATTTTGATTCAGATAAATAAATCATCAAACTTATAAACAAAAATTCACATCTGCAAAAATAATTCATCAACCAAATCTACTTGGCCAAGCTAACTTTAGTAGAAATAGAATCCAACAACAACATATGTGTGATTTAATTATTTTGCTAATTTTAATGCCAATTGACCGCCACTTATCCTTGTCGTTTGGTTGTTTTCAATTTAACCATTTTTTTTACACGTAAACGATAAATAAAATTTAATCAAAATGGCTTTCATACGTCGATTACGAATCCAACCAAACATTGTTATGCCATTGACAAATCAATTGGTAAAAAGGTAAAACAATTCAATTATGATTCATTTATTTTCTTTTTTTTTATAAATTAATCATTATATGAATGACAGATGTATAACAGTGACGGCCGCCAACAACGAAAGCGAAAATTGGCTAAGCAAACTGCTTATGGTTCGTAAAATCGATACCGGAAAGGAAGCCCATTCCCGATTACTCAGTGATACGGATAAAGTTTATGAAATGCACAGTAAGTGACAAATTATTGTTCAACCCGGATCAACAATCGAATCTAATAATTCCAATCTCAGTTCACGATGTAAAGCCTCGCCACAAAGAAGAATATCTACAGAACTTGTAATTTGCGTCCTGTACAACTGTCTCACGTACTAACTGTTTGTGTTTTCCATAGTCAAGCGTGGTCCAACGAAATACAGGCCAAAAGTCCGCAAATCCGATTGGTTGGCAGCTGGAAAGTAGAAGTCGGTGATCTCGATCAATACGGTAATACTTGGACCAGTTCAATTTGAAGATGATTAATTATCTCTCATGACAAACATAGTTCATATTTGGGGCTACGACGGATGGAAACAGGCGACCGAAGTGTTCAACTTAATTCGTGCCGATCGTACGCTGATTGCGTTGGAAAAAGACCAGGAACCGTTTCTTCGATCACGTCAAAACCAATTTATGTTATCATTTAGTTTTTGGCCAAATCCACAACCACAGGTCAACAATTCAATGTATGAAATGCGTTCCTACGTTCTTAAACCGGGCACCATGATCGAATGGGGCAACAATTGGGCAAGAGGTATTAATTTTCGACGCAACAATGCTGTGGCCGGATTCTTTTCGCAGATTGGTCAACTGTATTGTGTACATCATCTTTGGAAATATGATGATTTACTGGCACGTCGTGAAATCAGAGAAGCTGCCTGGCGTAAACCCGGCTGGGATGAATGTGTTGCCTATACGGTACCTTTAATCCGTGAAATGCGAACCCGATGGATGTCACCGAATCCATTCTCACCAATCAAGTGATTGAAACAAATCATTTATATGAATGATGATAGCAAAACTTGAAATATGAAATTTTATTTAATTTTTATCGGAAAAAAAGTTACAAAATATATATAAATAATCAGACAGGAATGGCAAATCTCTCGATATAATGTATCACTTCGAACACAACTTCAATCATAATCAATATGATGATCATCCATTCAAGTCGAACATGATGAATATCATTCAGATGACTGGAAAGCAGATCCATTAATTCGATACAATGATTCAGTTTTTCATTCATCACCCGAGTTCGTTTGTTAATGTTCAAATGAAGATAAGTGGCCGTAAATAATCGTTCCAGTTCTTCTCGATCCCAATAAAAATCAGGCGTATCCAACATATCTGAACTAAGATTGAGTCTATGTCGAAGACCAAATAGTTGTCCAGTTTTCCTAAACACTTCATCTCGGGTCAGTTTGATTTTACGGCCTTCTTTCATATCCTGAGTGATGTATTCGATACTGTCAATGTAACGATCTAGATTTGCTTCCCAAATCGATAGCTTGACTGACAATGCAATCGCATTGGAAAAGGCAAATTTATCCAAATTGACGGCATTCGGTTCGTTATCCATGTTGAGATAAATCAAACCTCGAGAAAGTCGCGATGGTGGTGACCTAGTCAACACAACATCAATCTCTTCACGTTCTTCGTTTACAATGTCCTGTTCGTATGGTTTGGTTTCGAATTCACGAAGCAATTTGAGCACGATACCGCATTCGCTGGCCGACATGTTCCAGAAAACGATTGAACCTTCATCAAATACGAAAAAGTCTCGTCGGTTTTCGTCTTCCAATTTGTATTTGGCTGTCATGTGTAACACTTGTCCGTTCAGTTCGTTTTGGATGGTATCATCATAGCGAACTTGTTCATAAAGACCATGTTGCACTAATGCAGCACCAAAATCATCAAGGTTATATTCGTCGGCTGTACTCAATGCTACCACCGGCCTTTCACATAGGCCATCCACATCAGTTGCGGTAGTTTGTTGCGATTGTAAAGTCTTTTTTTTAGGTGAACGTCGTTTGATCGAATCAATGAATAAACGACCAGTATCGGTAAGACCTTTGGTAGCCGTCGATGTAGTTTTCAATCGACGAATCGATCGCATCACAGACCATTGTTGTTGGCTAAATCAAATATAACCCAATAATAATCATCATTAATATTACTATTAGAATAAAAATCATATGATACAAACCATGAATTTAAGCTGTATAAACCATGATTCGAATAAAATCTAACAGAAACATTAATTGCACGCACAGCAATCTGACTGTAAATTCTCGGCCACATCGTGAATTAATTAATGATGAAATGACAACACGATGAACCACATGACTTTCTAACAATCTACTTACATCGTATAAACAGAATAACCCGAATCATCATTTCAAATATAACGAGCATTTTTCATTTATTTATTAAATCGGATGGGGTGAGGTAAAGAAACTACAATACTTTGCTTTGCTTTGTTTCTTTTTTTTCGTTTGCACAAAAATCAACAATAAGCTAAACAAGAAAACAAGCACAGCTACAAGTAAATTTAGAAAATAAATAAAATAAATCGAGATGATCAATGACCGGGGATGAGAAAAAAATCCATATTGAAAAAAATTTGGATGAATTTTGGAAGAATCGAAAAACGCACACACAATACAAACAGACACACAAAATTAATTAGTTAACAATATAACAAAACAAATGGCTAGAATGGATCACTGAATGAATGAATGAATGATGAGTGCGTCGGTAGCTGCAGTGGCAATTGGCAACGCTTGGATGAACATAATTGGAATCCTATCGGTGTTTTTTTTTACTTAATGATGATTCTCTGTTCCGTTTCAGATGATGAGTCAATATTAATGAAATTGATTGAGTTTCATAAACATACCATGCACCACCATACATGAAAAGGGTTAATCGATCTGTTTGGTTCCTTTGAGGTTGCCTTTGGCACGTTGCTGTAAAAAAACAACAGGTAAGAAAGAAAACGAAAAAAAATCCAATCCTTACCTCGTCTAATTCTTTTTTGGTCTTTTCTTCCAAGTCACGAATATCTTTCATGGTCAAACCATGCCATTTGTCTACCCAGCAAAAGACTTGTCGATGAAAATTAAGAAATATTTTTCGCTCCGTCTATCAGCGATCGAAAGAGAATCAATCAGAAATGATAAGACAAACATAAACGAATGGTAACTCACTTTTTGAATAAAACTTTCAATACGATTTTGAACACCAAACCATTTAAATTCACAGGTAACCAATTTATAGGAACACATGACCGGTTCACAAGTTTTCTGTTATTTATAAAATCCATTCATTTGATAAGAAAAACAAAAACAACCAAACATTTACTTACTCTCCAATCATCGGATAATGGTCCACGATTCGTTTTTTGTGATTTAAATTTTTTAGGGTCTTCATCTGGTTTATAATCCTAAAAAACGATTTGGAAATAATTTCAAATTGTAAAACCAAACAAACAAAAAACAAAACATACCGATTGATTAACAGGATCGTTGGCAATGTCTATGAAAATTACTTCACGTTGTTTAAGAAGTTGTTGATCCAAATGATGTGCATTATCTTGTGTCCCTCTATCCGGTGCATGCATTGTTTCGATTACCAAACGAAAATTATCTTTCATATAATCAGGATTCGTAATAATTGTCCGACAATATGGATATGCATTCCATGCTTCTTCATGTATTTCTAATGATCCTTTAGGAGCAATAAGTCGTACGATTGAAGGCACCTTTGAATCAAGGTGATATATTTTGTACGTGTATTGACCTTTATCATATTTACCATCCAAAAGTGGATAATTACTAAATGGTTCATTTTTTACTACTTCAACACCTTCACCACCGCCTGTTTCATTTTTCGATGCTTCCGCCACACTAAACAATTGTCCTATTTGATACTGTTATGAAACAAAAACAATATCTTCATTATTAACATTATCAATGAGAAAAGACATGACTTAAAAACGCACCTCTTCAACCGTCAATGGTAAAACCACACGACTATGTTGTTTATTTAACAAACAGATCGGATTAGTTGTTGTTTTTTTTGTAGAATATATCCTTTTGATACTTACAATTCTTTGATGAGCATGATTGAACAAAAACAACAACAAAACTTTGGAATATGAAATTATTATAACAATTTAACGATAATATCCGTATTCGAAACAATAATAATAATAATGAAATGACAATTTATCCAACCGAAATTATTAGTTATTTAGTTTATCTATTTATCTAATGAAAAACAAATACCAAAATGCAAAAAAAATGGATTAATAATCATTATCTCAAATTGTTATGGGTGTTTTGTTTTCAAGGCTCATCAAACATGAAACACATCACCATAGATTTTTCAACTTACCAAAGTAAATATTTCTTTTTTTAAAAAAATGAATAAATCAAATATGCACTGTACAGGATATTGTCCAATTGTGATGCATTGTTGGCCACAACAACAAACAACAAACCAAAAAAAACGACAACAGTATGGGACGTTCGTTACTGATTGAAATAATGATGATGATGATGCTTTTGTGACTAATCTCCAAGCCCTCGCTCCTATCTATTTCTCAACTCGCAGACACACACACACACACATCAGTGAAAAAACTATGATGACACCAACAGCCGTTAATGGGTGTCCTTCGCCTAATACTCAAGCGCATGCGGTTGCCGCAAATGTCCAACAAAAATCATCGTTGTCAATTGACAAAACATCCAATTCATACTTGAATAGTAATTCATTCGACTAAAAATAGCTTACGCCATCTATCCATGACGAATAAAAAATTTTATTTAAAAATAATGTTTTTTATTCGATCGATAATTTTGAATCAAAAAAAAAAAAAAAAAAATCAAATTATTAAAATGGTTAAAATGCCAGAAACCAGACGCCCAATATTGATTTTTTTCATTGTGAATAAAAATC